TATATATATATATATAAACACACACACAATACAAATGTATAATATACCAAAATGCTGTGCGCCTCCTGGGGGCTAAGCCCCCCTCGTCTTTAAAACCTAGTGACACCCCTGGTTCCTGGTCTTCTCCTGCCCAGCTGGTGAACTCTGCAGTGACAGTTTTCTGCCAGCTCAGAGCGAAACATTTCTTTTTGACTCTGTTCACAGCAAAGTCTGCATGATCATTAACGGTTTACAAAAACAAAGCCAAGAACTTGTGAGACTAAAAAAAAAAAAATCATGGACCAAAACCTTCTTCCGGGCTTTAACGAACACCAGCATACCAGACATTTATGAGTCATAGCCACTGAGAAAAGAGGACTGTTACAAAAACGTGCTGCAGTTATAAAAGTCTGTTTACATCCACTTTATGCAAAATCATCAATCTGCCCTTTTATGTTCTTGGTGTCAGACATGAACGGGCATCATCACCTTTATTTTTTAACTCTATGCATCTGAGGCCACTTTAAGCAGGAGGGATGCTCCTCTATCTCCCGAGTTCTCCGAGTTTATTCCACATCTGGACTCGGCCCCGTCGGTGTGCCGGCTCAGACCGAGGACCCCGCCGCTCAGCCTTCCTGACGACTCAGCCGTGTTCGTTCACGCAGGAACGAGGTGCCTCACGCTGAGGACGAATATGCAAACGCCCGCGCAATAAACCCAGCTGTGAGTCCGAGCCGACCCGACAGCCTCAGCTGTGAGGTGAGGCGGACCGAGGAAGACCTGAAGAGGGAAATCACTTTTTTTTTTATTTTAAAGGACATTTAATGCATCATTAAAGGCTGAAACAGAACTGGGAATAACGATATTCTACATAAAGTACATTTACTTGGTTAGTAGTTTTTTAATTGCAACTTTTACCTTTATTTTTTTACATAAAAATGTTATTTCTTTACTTGAAAATAAACACCTCATTACACTCAGCAAAATAAAACAACCAGAACTTGTCATGCTTGTTTCTGCACTCTAAAAAAATGCAGTGTTGAATTTACTTAACCAAGTTATGTCAGCTGGTTCCAGTGAGTTGAGCAAATTGAGCAATTTAATTTTCTTAAATGAAAAAAGTGTAAATCCCTCTACATTAACTCATCTAAATAAAGCCGTTCGTACAGGATAAATATTGTCATAAAATAAATTACTTCCAACGTCTGCTTTTTATGTGGCACATTTGCACGGGATAACTTAATTCATTTATTCATTTCATTAAAAAATAAAACATTTCATACAATAAAACAATACGAATCAAAAGAAAGGCAGCAGAAGAAAAATCCTTATATCTATTTATTGTTTGAAATGTTTTATTTTTTTAATGAAATGAATTAAAAAAAAAATAAAATAATTTTTTCTGAAATTTACGAACATCTGGATATGTTAACGTGCTTCACTACGGCCACAGCTCAGCACTGTTACTGCCAGTGTTAGCCAGTTGGTGACAAATAGAAAAAAATATTTTTAAGCCCTAAAAGTAAAAAAAAATAAAGAAAAAAATGATTCTTACCACACAGTGCGATGCATGATGTAAGACGCCATTTGCATCTGATTTTCCTCCTTCTCGTCAAGTTTTTTTATTTTTGCCGCACGTTACGCACTCCAATCCAGCCTCCATTCTTCACCAGAAGCACGTAAAATTGTGCCGAGGAAACAGAAAAATGCCTAACTGTGTATCTGATTCAGCCCATTTAAACTGGATTACTTTAATCACAGGAGCAGCAAAATATAGTAGGTTGTGTGCAGGTGAATATTTACTTTACAAATTACTCACATGGCAGATTCACACGGGATTAACAGATAATCTCTGCAATTATTACAAAGAGCATGTGGTCCCTACACTGCAAAAAATATCCACCTAACCAAGTTTTAAAATCTTATATCAGCCAAAAAATAATTGACTCAAATTAAGTCAAAAATTTCTGCCAATGGAGTAAGAAAATTTTACTTGGTAAGACTCTTTAAAATACTTGATTTGACTCAATTTTTTCTTATTTCAAGAATCTTACCAAGTAAAAATTTCTTACTCCATTGGCAGAAATTTTTGACTTAATTTGAGTCAAATTTTCAGATTAACAAGACAAATAATCTTACACATTCTGAAAACAAGATGATTATTCTTACACAATCAGTTCTTGTTTAGTGAATCAGTCTCAAAACAAGATCAAAAAGACTTTTTGGCTGATATAAGGTTTTAAACTTGGTTAGGTGGACAGTTTTTGCAGTGTACATGTACACTTCAAAAATAGATGTCAGATTTACTTGACCAAGTTATGTCCAACAATCTGTTTTTTGAGTGCAGGGCTGCCAAGTTTAAAGTCTGGTCGGTGAGAGCAGCAGTGAGTCAGAAAATCCCCCCGGAGGACAAACACACGGTTCGACAGGTGTGAGGAAACAGGTTTTCCTTCCTTGTCAGCGTGACGTCACGTTTAAAGCTTCAGCTGCGACACGTTTTCGTTTTTTTTTTTTTTTTTCACTTTTTTTTCCAAGATGAATTTTGCGAGTTTAAACAAAAAACAGATGTCCTGAATTCCTGCCACAGCCAGATGCTTTTCATCCAGTTTTCTTCAACAGAGAACCGGTTCTAGAGCCTTTTTTTTTAATCACAAATTTCACTTTCATTGTAGATATTGTGCACAAAGCAGCAAATTTAATCTACTGAAGGAAAATTAGTGACACATTATGTTTGTGTTGCCTTAGCAAAATATCTTCATCGAAACTTTCTGTACATCTACAGCTTTTGGAGTCGGTTCAAGAAACACAAAAATGACTATAAACTTGCCAATTTTACAGATATTGAACTAAACTTTGGGGTGGTAGTAGTTGAGCGTTATTCCAACACATACGTATAACTCCAAAGGCGTGTGTACTGTAGTACCTGAAGATGCAGGATGCCAGAAGAACTAGTTCCACCCAGGTCTGATTCAGAACACTGACGCCTTCTAGAAAATCAGCAAATATTTTAGTTTATTTTCCAAGTAAAATTTATCTTTTTTAAATTCAGAAAGGTGATTAAAAATAAATAAATGAGCAACTGCTTCTTTTAGCACTTCCAATATTCTAATACTCTCTTACAGTAGCATTTAAAGTAATACGGTGTATTTAAAAAAGAATGAGAACAAGAGTCATACGTATGGAAGCCCATTTCAGCCACTCTGATAAAAAAATAAATAAAACTTGTATCTCATAATTATGACTTAGCTATCTCATAATTATGACATACTATCCCATAATTATGAGATAGTATTTCATAACTATGACTTAGCTGAGATAGTATTTCATAATTATGACTTAGCTGAGATAGTATGGCATAATTGTGACTTAGCTGAGATAGTATGGCATAATTGTGACTTAACTATCTCGATACTATCTCGAAATTATGAGATACTATCTCATAATTTTGACTTAGTCAAGTCATAATTATGAGACAGCTAAGTCATAATTATGAGACAGCTAAGTCATAATAATGAGATAGTATCTCATAATTATGAGATAGTATCTCATTGTTATGAGATACTAAGTCATAATAATGAGATAGTATGTCATAATTATGAGATAGCTAAGTCATAATTATGAGATAGTATGTCATAATTATGAGAAAGCTAAGTCATAATTATGAGATAGTATGTCATAATTATGAGATAGCTAAGTCATAATTATGAGATAGTATGTCATAATTATGAGATAGTAT